TCCTGCTGGACCACAGTGGCTGGGCCACCTATAAAGTTTCGAAGAACTGCAAGTCCAGACTGTTAGCCAACTGAATGATTTTATTTCCCAGGTGCATGAGAAAGGAAAAAGTACAGAATTTCTTGTGCTTTCATGAACAATCTAAGCAAGCTCAGAAAGCAATTTCAAAGGGAAAATACATGAAGAAACAACAAGGTCACCTCTGAGTTGCCTAGATTTTGCCTTCTTCTCTCAAGAGCTCAGTGTGGAAGGTGAGAGAGGTGTTGGCCATTTTCCTCTGATAGTCTGCATCAAATCTCTCATTCTGTGCCACTGTGAAGTAATTCTTCCAGTCTCCCACAGTTCCTAAAAGGCAACAACATTACATCTGAGAGATTGGTTGGGAAGTCTATTCTGATTGCTTTTTCTCTGAAGTTAAACTTCAGACATAATGAAAGAGGACTAATTCTTAATATAGGTACACATCACAATCTATGTTCTTTCTCTTTCTTTCTTTCTTTCTTTCTTTCTTTCTTTCTTTCTTTCTTTCTTTCTTTCTTTCTTTCTTTCTCTCTCTCTCTCTCTCTTTCTTTCTTTCTTTCTTTCTTTCTTTCTTTCTTTCTTCTTCTTTTTTTAAAAGATGCAAAGTGCATGTGCATGCATGTGAGTGTGAAAGAACATCCCCACCAGGTCTGGACAGGCAATTATCCCTCAACCCCAGCTCCTAAGGACCTTGGGCACCAGTATCTGCCAGTAACACCCTGAGGCCCACAGAGACCCAAACCCATCTATGGTTGGCATGTGACCTCCAGCACTGCAATTCAGCACAGTGTGAGCTGTGCCCCTAGGTTGGCCTCAATATCTCTTGTTTTCAAAGATTAATATTTTGAGAACCAGCACTTAGTGTAATGGCTATGTCCCTGGACTCCCACATAGTCGACCATGGTCCCCATCACGGACCCGGTGGCTTAAAACTCACGCTGGGCACGTGTGCGTGTGTGCCTAAGATCCCGAGAGGAGAATGGAGGAGAAGGGACTGTGGTGTGACCATCCCCCCTGGGGGGTGATTTCTCGCTTTCTGTCTCTCCATCTCTCTCTGTCTCTCTCTGTCTGTCTGGCGAGCGCACGCGCCCTATAGCGAAAACCTCTCAAAAAAAAAAAAAAGATTAACATTTTAGGAAAACCCCAGAGTTACTGGCAGCATGGTAGTTAAAAATGAAATAAACATATTAATCCTTTCCCCAAATACCCATTGTCTAAGATCATCATTCTTAAAGGAGTGCACTGTGGCTCGTACATACCCTTCCTCATGAATGGGGAGATGGAATGGTCCATGATGGCAGAAGGCAGCGTGGTCAAGTTGGTTAATGGGTTTTCATTCATGCTTTCAAATGAAGTGTGCTGAACGATCCTGTGGACAGTCTCTTTATCTAGTTTCTTACCCATAAATTCTATTATCTTTTGAATTTCATGTTCTGGGTTCTGTGGTGGATGGGGATGGGACAACAAGTGATCATGAGAGGATTTTGGAGAAAAGGGAAGCAAGAGAACAACGTCTGGGAGGAGTCCTTGGAGTTTCCTGTATCTTAGTGTCTGTAATGTTGGTTTTCCTCATCTAAGGAACCTAGGAATACTACTGGGGGAGTTTGAAGGGGTCACAGAGAAATGGAATTAAAGTATGAGTTTATTTTTGTGCAAAAAAATATAGAAATCTATGCATTGCTTTTTCTTAGCTTTCCATGAACTTTTTGAAGAACCCTTAAACATTCCCTTGATGTCTCTTTCTCTTCCGTTCCTTCTA